TTTTGGTTGAAGGCACCCCAGTAGGGGAAGAATGGCAGTGTGTGAAACCAACAAAGAAGTCCACCTAATGAGAAAAAAAGCTGGAGGAAAACTGGCGCCAGAGTCAAGACGAGAGCCAGGCAATACCTGCACCCATGCCCCAGGGTGACGGGCACAGACGTGAGGGGGATGCGGGAGGGAGGACTCCCCAGAGGCTTTCCACGCTCTCTGCTGGGCCTAGACAAAGGCCGCGGTCACCACCTACAGGCATGGACTGTGCAGCTGTCTCCCTGAGCCCCTCAGCCCCCAGTGCACCCATTAAGGGGATGAAGAATGCAGACTTCAAACCAAATCATCCTCTGCAGTGTTCTCTGTCTTGATTTGTCCATCTACCGTGCGACAATTTTATGGCCCTGCTGGGAGACTGGGCTCCAATGAGCTTCTGATGCAGCAGGGAAAGAAGTGAGAAGGTGTTTAAATAAATAATGCGCAGCGCCCCGGTGAGCCTCTTACATCCTTCCGCATGCAGACTCCTCAGAGGGCAGCAAGAGGAAAAAGGCCACCATCTGCAGAATTTGGCTCTGCGTGTGCTTCAATACGTCGGTGCCTCCTCCTCTGAGCCAAGTAAAGGTGGCTTAGGCACTGGCTTCTCCCCTGTAGCTCACACAGGGCCCAGATCCAGTGCATGGCGGACAATCCTCTTGGTGTATAATTTAAGAGGACCATGCAACCTTGGGTCTTGGCCTAATCAAAGGCACCTCAGCTGGGAACTGTTTGAGTAATGGATTCTGGTGGGGTCTTAATCTATGTGCTAAAGGTGATGGATTTCCATTCCAATGACTTGCAGGTGAAGAAAGACATCAAAGGAAAAGCCAGATTCTGATCTTTGACAGGTGTGCAGATTGCCAGTGGCCTTTCTGCACCCCTCCCCCAAGCTGCGAAGACCACAAATCCCGGAGAGCTTATGACCGATGCCACATGGCCAGGAGGGCATGGTGTACATGGACAGCCCACACCACAGACCAGGGCCACAGACTCAGAATCTCTTGCAGAAGCTGGCCTCGGAAGACAGCGGGGCTGGGGAGGTACCGGTGGGCACCAGCTTCTCCCCTAATCAAGAGGGTGAGGGCACCCAATATCTCTGAGTGAAAGGGGTGGCAAGACAGGAAAAAGAGGACAGGGTACTACTACATGTGGAAGCAGAAAGATGCTGTACAAGGTTCCCATGACAAGCCTCCTTTCCAGCCTCCTCCTCCCACCTTTTCTTCCAGGAGGTGGGAAGGGAGACTATGTGACAGTTATCCTTGATTTAAAAACTGGTGGGCTGGGGATATAGCTCAGTGGCACAGCACCTACCTGGCAAGTGCAAGGACCTGAGTTTGATTCCTGGTACAAAAAAGAAAAAAACTGGCCTCACATAATCAAAGCTGGACAACTGTAGGCAACAGAAATAATATCAGCAGGCTTCTGCAGATTAGTCAAGCGTCTCATGGCTGGGTAAAATCACCTCATGCTTCCTAAAAGTTCAGTCCTAACGTGCAACAGACACAGGTGGGGAGTCCTTATCAAAAATGGGCAGAACCCAGCAGTGTTGTAGGTTTGGGATTATGTCTGACTCTGGAATATCTACATGTATATAATGAGCTGACTGGGGGATGGGACCAGATCTAAAGTCAAAGTAAATTTACATTTCATATATACTTCATACACATAGTCTAACGGTAATTTTAGAAAATATTTTTAGTACACTTACGTTGTTTTTGTGGAACTACCACAAAATGCTCTACCACTGAGCTATAGCTCCAGCCCTTTGTATTTTTTTATTTTGAGACAAAGTCTCACTAAATTGCCCACACTGGCCTTTAGTGCAATCCTCCTGCCTCAGACACGCACCCGTACTATCACTGGTGAGCCTGTGCTTAGACTACTGGCATTCAAAACAGTTTCAGATTTTGGAGCACTGCAGAGTTTGGATTTCCGGGTTGAAGATGCACATCCCGTACTAGCACTCGTGGCACCAAGGGTAGGGACACCGTACAGGAGTGGAGTCAAACTGCACCCTTTAAAGCCACATCACTACTGCTGTCTCCTGAGACCCAAGCTCTGCCTTCCCCAACATGAAGGGGAGGGGAGAGAAGAGGAGAGGGTGGAAGAAAACACCTCTGCCCAAAGGGGGAAGCCAGGGGGCCTCTGTCATGGGTGCAGAAGAAAGCAGCTTCGGTGGTCTCCCTGGTGGATCATAAATAATTAGCCAGGGAGTGGACAGGGTGTGGCGGGGCGGGAGGCAGGCAGGGGTGTGCGTGGTGGGCTGTGAGTGAGAAGCCTTGTGCCCTCCCAGGGTCAGCCGCATCTGGAGCGGTTTCTCTAGCAGACAGTAAAGAACTCGATTACATCCAGTTAACTGTGCTCTAAACTGATTATGCATGTGCCGGGCTAATGGATTACATTAGCAAGAGGAAAAATAACATGCAATCAATCTCCATTTACTATGGGCCACACCAGGGCTGCGAGAAAAAGTGACTCTCAAGCCACCTGGAAACCCCACCCGAATCTCAGACTGAGGAAACCTGGGGAGAGCGAGCCCCCCAGGTGGCAAGAGAAGTTTATCTTAGTCACACGTCACACAGAGGGACAAAAGGGCTCGGGGTGGGTACTGGAATGATAATCCTGTGTCATCCAGGAATGGGTGGGGGAGCGCTCCACCCCAGCAGAGCCTCAGCAAGCAGAGGGACATTCATTACCCAGGCACTAAGAAGGCCACCCTGATGACCTTTGGCTCTTGATGCCGGGAATTCTATCCGAAACTCACACGGGAGCTGGTCACCTCCAGGGACGTGCCAGCCAAATGTGCTATTCAGGCACCTCTCCTCTGGCTGCTGGCTCTTATCTTTACCCTGCACCCCAACATTTACTTAGGACCACACTGTACTTTCTAGACAGAAGTGTCCTGTCCTCCCAATGTAGCAACAATAATTTCTAAAGGGCTCAGTGGGAAGGCTTTAGGTTCTCCTGCCAATATGAACATACAAACATACACGTCTAGGAAAATAAGCAACCAGAGCTGGCAGAGGAGAAACACAAAGAAATTGCCTTCTTCATATCCATGCCCTGAACACACTTCCCTCTACCTTTGGGGGGGGGGTGTGAACCAAGGCTGTGGCATGGGGGCCAGAGCAGGAGCGTTAGCGTCAATGAATGTGCCCGGCTGCAAGCCTTCAGAAGCCAGGCCACATGCCTGGCACACGCATAGTCATGGCCACATGGAAGACTCAGTGCAGAGTTCGTCACCACCATGGGCACTCAATGATCTGAACGGCAATTTTTCCCACAGATGGAAGTGGCCAGCTTCGGGCCACCTCTAACGGGCCCTTCATCAAAGTGGCACGCAACCTTCAATGGCCACCTTGCATCCTTTGTGTAAATTCTACTCAGTTGGGTCCTTTGGAAATTCTTTTTCCACTGGTTTTTCCATCGGGTTTTCTTGATCACGTGGGCACCATCCTATGGCCAGTGAAGGCCTCCAATTTAAACTAATTACAAAGAGAATTTTCTTCTAAGGATGGTATAAAGCTGAACCACTCCGGTTAGATTCTTGCTCACTCGAAATACAGGAGCTGGCTGCTTGGTGTCCATGTCCAGCACATCCTAACTGCAGTGAGCAGGCACTTCCAGAACATTCTGTCCCTGCTATCTCACTCTTGCTTCCTCCTCCTTTCCCTAAAACATTTTCTCATCCCTGGCACACGGGCCTCCCACTGCCCGTGAACAAGCAACTGTAAAATGAATTATAGTTGCCTGGCAGAGGCAGACATGGGCAAAGGATCAGAATTCTTCCTTAGGTGGAGTCTCCATCTAAAATCACTATGGGTAGGGAGTGGATTTCATTAGCTCGGGATTAGCAGACGCTAGACACTGGCCCGCCCGAAGATGGTAGAAAGGGTGTGAAGGGAGAGAGCAACCGCCAGGGAGATGGAAAGAGAAAATAAGGGAGTGGAAGGTATGTGGAATGAGGCCGGGAGATTTATGGCGATTTATACCTGATTGTTCATACTAAAGCCATTATGGGATGATTAGAGAAAAAGGTGAGGCTTTAAGTCCAGTGAAAATCAATAGGAACGTCTGGAGCAATCCTGGCGAGCAAGTGAAAGGACTATTTACAGTATCCGGAGCCCCTCCCCTCCATCCCCGCCTACAAAGTTGAGAGGACTGGGGCAGAGGGTGGGAAGGAGGGGTGGGAAGGAAAGAAGGGGACACAGGACAGAGGGAGCAGAGGAGGATGGCAGAGGCCTGCAAACAGGAAAAGGTCAGCAGAGGAAAGATAAAGGGGACATAAACATAATAGACACAGGGAAAGAGCCAAGGGCCCCCTTCCGCAAGTCTGCTGCAGCTTGCCATGTAATGTGCTCATGGTGTGCACACAGCGAGCTTCAGGGACAGCTCGCTGATCTGCATGATGCGCTCACCTTGGCCATCAGCTCCTCTGATGCCAGCTGCCCCCCCAGAAGAGGAAGAAAATCCTTTGAGGCCGAGATGTTGTGGAGGGGCGCTCTGTTCAACACCCCTATGAAGGCATGAACTTAAAAAGTGCCTGATGTGCAGGAAGTACACAGTGTTGGCTGGATGAACGACAGCAGGGACAGCCAGGAGGGAGAAACAGAAGGATGAAAAAGGAGAACAAGAACCTGAGAAGACAGAGGATCATGGACACTGGTGGTGAGGAAGGAAAAAGGCAACTGCAACGACAGTCAGGCAGAAAGGGGATGACACCCAGCTTCTGTAAGCTATTCCTGCCCCCCAAAGTGGGGCTCCCCAGCACAAGAGCCTCAGCCAGCAGATGAAGCCTCGCACACAGTTTTACGTCACTGAGAAGCGATACCAACACCCTTTCCAGCTCTGGATTGCCACACGACTGCCAGCAGGAAAATGACAGGGAAAACTGCCCCCTCCCTGGATCTTTCCCCCCTCAGGTACCCAGCAACTCGGGGCAGAGACGGTGTGCACACAAAGGAGCCAGCACTTACCTTGTACAGCTTCAGGCTGGCCTCATGCCTGGAGTTGACCGTGTGCAGCCGCAGCTTCTCCAGGCTGTTGGTGTAGTAGTCGCAGGCATTGCACTTGAGGTGCACGGGGTTGCCAATGGCCACACACTTGAGCCTCCACTCGTTGGCCTTGCCACCCTCCTTGATGTGGGCCACCAGCTGGTACTTCTGCACGTGCTTGTCCGTCTTGCAGTGCAGCTGGAAGTTGGCCTTGAGCTGGGTGTTGTAGCGGCAGAGCTTGCACTGGTACGAGTCGCCCATCACCGCCTTCCACTCGTCCTCCGCAAGGCTGCGCTCCACGTTCATGTGCAGCCCCAGCATGTCCAGGTTGTCCGTCGTGAACTTGTTGCAGACGGCGCACTGGAAGAGCTTGAGGGACGGGTCGTTGGTCTGGATGAAGCTCTCGCCCAGGTTCATCAGCTCCTCCGACACCAGCTGCCCGCCCCCAAGCCGCATGTCTAGGGGGATCTCACCGCCCACTGTGGGGAAGGACAGAAGGTGAGAATTAGAGGCCAGGCTCACAGGCCGGGACTCACCCAGTCCTCCACCACCCTTAACCGGTGTCCAAGGAGAGCAAGGTCATGCTGCAGGTATCGCAAGGCTCTGCTAGCTGGAAAACAAACAAAGTCCACTTGAGGTATTTGACTCTTTCTTATGAACGTCGTGAAGTTTGTGAAGGCTTTGTGTTTTCCTTCTTTAGGAAAAAAAACACACAGGAAAAGTAGACAGAACATAGCCTTTTGCATTATCTCAATTCATCCCCTTTCTCAGAATTTGAGCAAAGTTAGAAGCCCGTAGCATTCAGTGGATAAAACCAGAACTAAACCTCCAAGACCCTCCCCTAAATTGGAAATCAGAGCTGAAATCTGCAACACAAGGCTGAGCCCAACATGGTAGGTGTGCTTTGGGGAAGTTGACTGGGAAGGACAATGAATCAAAGGTCAGGGACTGGGGAGATGGCTCAGTAGAATAAGCGCCTCCCTGGCAAGTGCAAGGGCCTGAGTTCAATCCTCGGTTCCACCCAAAAAAAAAAAAAAAAAAAAATCAGGGGTCAATTCACAGCCCCTGAAGGGGTCTGGGAAAGGGCCTTCCACTCCCTGCACCCTGGTCCTTCTTAGCCCTGCCCTGCATTACCCAGGAATGGGCCTGCCTTTGCTATGGTAAATAAGTACAGCAAGCCCTTCCATATCACAAGAAAGCCCTGGAAGGGGAAGTCCTCCCTACACTCTCCAGAGCACACTATCACACAGAAAGCTGAGCGGCAGCTTCTACCTGCTGCCTTTCCCTCAATACAGGCACCCCTGATCCCTAACTGACAGGTAAAGTTGACATTTTACATGTAGGCTTTTTTTTTTTTTTTTTTTTTTTTAATGTATTTGGTACAGGGTCTCACTACGCAGCTCAGATTCCTAGTGATCCTCCTGTTTTCAGCCTCCCCATCACTGGGATTACAGGCATGCACCACCATGCCTGGACTCATTGGCCAGCTCAGCACACCCCGTGGCAGGGCCAGCATTTGCATGTGGTGCTGGGGGTCAAACCGCAGTGCCTGGGCTTGCCTAAGGAGGCGCTTAGTCTATTCAGCTATCTCACCAGCTCTGTTTTGTTGGTTTTTTTTTTTTTAAATGACTGATTAGAATCCAAGTTAGCAGCTCATCAAAGAAAGACTTTTTTAAATGATTTTCTTATTTACACTATTACAAGGCACCCCAGCTGAAGAGACAGGCTGCATCTGAAGTCTGTGGACTGTCTGACAAGTCACAGAAATCTTCCACACACACATTCCAAAAGGCTTAGGAGGCTTCCTGCTTGTTGTCTCTCTTGCCATCTCCCCTGGTGAGAAGAGTCACAACTAGGACATTCTTTTTAGGATGAGAGAGAAAAAGAGAAAGAGGGGGAAGAAAGAACAACCCAAACTCCATCCTGTAATGGGGACGAAGGGCATACAACATCCACAAAACATACACGGTGTTCAGTCAAAGTAAAAACTGCCTGGAGGGTAAGACAAGGAGCAAATATATATTTGTTTCTGATGACAACCACCTGAAGCATCAAATCTTCCCCACTTTTTAAATGTGACCCAGCACATCAATACTGCTCTGAAGAGAAATTCAGCTGTCACTTGCTGGATGCCTAAATGAAAATTAGAAGTCTTCAGAACAACCAGAGGAAGTCCCTGTTCCTATTCTAAGCTCTTTAAGATGAGCAGAATGCAAATCAGGACAAAACAGAGACGGGTAAGATAAACCAGGATGAGGAGGAAGCCACAACTCCCATCAAGAGCCACAACATGGAAAAACACCTCCAGGGCTCTGGAATCCCCCACGCCCCCAGGTTGAAGGAACTAATTTAGTTCCCAAGTGCAGGAACTTCAGCGGCTGCACAGACAGCAGGGGAGCTCCTTTAAGCACGAACTCAACAAGTCTCCAGTCTTGAGCTCCACCAGATACACTGGTATGTGTGTCCACCCAGAAGCACATCCTGAGAGAGGCATTTAGATTGCATGGCATACTCTAGAACCGCAGGCAGAGGCAGGGCTGCTGGGGAGCCTCACACCTTACCCTGTGGCTGCTACCTATGAAACATGTACAGGTGATCCCACAAGTGAACCCCTCCTCAGTACTGTGTGAACTTTTAGAGAATAAAGGGATGTTTCGAAGGACACTCATACAGCCTCCAGCCTAACAACCGGTCTATAAGCAGCAGGGGATCCAACCACGTCATAACAGAGCAAGGGCTGCCAACCTTCTGCTTAAAATCTTCCAGAAAGAAGAATGCCCACAATCAGCACCTACTTGACAGAACTAAAGAAAAAGTTCTATCAGAGGAAGCGTGAGAACAATACCTTTATAAGCAGGAATATATTTCACAGAAACCATTATCCCCTGTGAAAAACCTAGTATGATCTACAAGCCATTACACAAATGACCCAAAGAAAAACATAGGCGGAGATACAGAGAGAACAGAAACCTGTGGCTCCTTCATTTGCATAGGTCATTTTCTCCTCCCAAGGTCATCCAATTTTAACTATAAGTCCTCTGGACACTTCTTGTCCCCACACCAGGCTTCCAGCAGCAAGCATCTGAAGCTCTCATCATCTCAACAGATCTCATGGCCTGAGGAAGGCATAGAATGTCCAGAGATTCACCTCGTGTGACAAGTGGAGACAGCAGAGATGCAGGGCAATCCTGGGCAGAGCTGGGGAAGGTCCCTATAAGGAAGAGCTCTCCTCTCCTTAAGAAATAGTATGTCTCTTCTACAACATAGGGAAGCATTCTTCCACTTCTTTTGCAGCTAACTTAACACCCAGGACAGTGGGTGACACAAGGCTCAGGAGCAAAACATTTCTCCACTCCTCAACTCATGCCTTAGTTACCTGTTTCAAAGGTAATTTAAAAAGCCTTTCCTCTGACCTAATACAAACCCATGCATTTTCTGCATTGTTGTTCCGCTGGTATTATGTCTAGTTTACTCCTAAGCCCTCTCTCGTATCTTCAGATTAGAATACTCCAATTCCTTTTGGCTTAAAAACAAACAAAAATATCTTAGAGCAGTGATGCCCATTCCTCAGTGTGCGTGGCTCACTCGGGACAATTAGAGGATGGGTCCCTATTCCTTCATGATTAACCAGTTGGCAAAACATCTCCAGATCATTTGATAACAAAAGATCAACAGGTTCACCTTTCAAAATGGAAAATAAGATTAAAGTATCATGAATTCAAAGTGAAATGCGTATCAGGAAAAATAAACTGAATGCTTTGAAATGTAACTCAACAACAATTTGCACTAAAACACCGCACAAAGACCTAGAAGCTGGAGAGCTTTAGCCTCCTCACACTGAGGTGTGGAGTCTGCAGCTCACGAGACATTTACCCTTTCTATTAAATGTTATTATAATTTTTACTACATCATACATGCTCTAGGCAGCCCAAGAGACATCATCTTTACTCAGTGTGGCCCAGGAAAGGCAAAAGTTTGGGTATCCTAGAACAATTCCAGAATAAAAGTACCTGTTCACAGTTTGTTACCAGGCAACCACCTATCTACATGTTAGTTATGGGATACTGTTCAACTCAGGCCACTGCCCCGGTCCTCAGCGAGCAGAGTCATGTGATGGAGCAAGGCAGCATCCTCCTTCCAAAGAGCAAGAGACTAGGGTCAGGAGGAGGCCAAGCATCATACCTGTCCCTCATGAAACCACTTGGCATTTTAGGCTCAATCACAGTTCTCACAGAAGTTGGTTATACCTCTTTCTACCTACAGATCTGCAGTTCTCTACATCTCGGTCCTGGTTTACATACTATTAAACCAACTGGTAAGACTTGGCGTTACGGGTTTGAGTAAGTGTCTCCCAGAGGCCCATTGGTTAAAGACATGGTCCTTAGCTTGTGCACCGCTAGAAGGTGATGGAAACTTGGAAGATGGGGGACCCAGGTGGAAATCTGGCTGTGTGGGGAGGTGCCCTTGAAAGGGATCCTGGGATGCCGGGTCTCCCTCTCCTTTTCACTTCCTGGCCACCAGGAGATGAGCAACTTCCCCTGCCCTGTGCTCCCACCATGACAGACAGCCTCACTACAGGCATAAAGCAACAAGAGCTACGGAGAGAGAATAAAACCTCCAAAGCTGGGAGTCAAAATAAGTCTCTTCTCTTCATAAATTGATTGTCTCAGGTGTGTGTTACAGTAAAAGAGAGCCAACTGACACCCTTAAAATGTAACTGAGGAGCAACAATTAGCACTAACCCCGGCACAAATAAAGACCAGAAACAGCCAACTCACCTTCTTTAAGGCACAGTTGTGTCTCATGGCAACAAAGGCTTCATTAGGCAACATCTAGCTGCCATTAAAACTTGGCTTTCTTTGATAGACAATTTTACAATTTATTCATTTTTCATCTATCATACCATTCATTACCATGTCCCCAGGGCAATTTAATTCCCAATTAATTCCCAACTACGCTAATAACCAACAACTAATGCAAACTAAGAAAGAAAAAGACCACATCTCTTTCATCAAGATCCTCATAAATACAGAGAACAGTGAGAAATCTCTCTGGGTGGTTCCCAGCTCAGCCTAGAAGCAGCCTTTGGTAACATGAATAAGGTATGCTACGGTTTCAAATTTCTCTTATTGAGATGATTGTCCCTATTTAAATTATTGAGATAATTGTCTGATTCCTCTTATTGAGATGATTGTCCCAGCTACAGTTTCCTGTAAGTTTCAATAAATATTTAATGGAACCCAAAAGTTTGGAGTGATTATGGTGATTTTTCAAATTGAGAAAGAGACAGAGAAAAGAGAGAATGAGAACAGAAAGGACGGTTGACCATAAACTAGAGGAAACACTTAAAATTTTAATCCCAGTCCTACATAGCCGGAACACAATCACAGCTCTGTTGAATACGTAAAACCTTCCATATGTACACACATAGTTCAAGAAATTCTTGAGGGAAAACACTCAATGGTAAGACTCTCCTCACACAAATCAACTCAAGCAGGGAAAACCCAAGCAGATCAACAGGACTATACTCAGCCTCCTCTCCATTTTCCCCCATGACACTCCTTTCACAGAGCAAACACACACGCAGATAGCCTCACCTAGAGCAGGTGTCACGGCAGCCATGGGCCCCGCGGGCTCCAGCTGGAATCCGCTCATCATGAACTGGGCGTCCGAGGCGGCGCTGTCCATCTTCAGGTTGGGCAGGCTCATGTTCTGGGCCAGGTAGTACTGGTAGAGCTCGGCCTCCGCGGGCGAGGGCAGGCTGCCAAGGCCCAGGTGGCGGTTGTGCTGGATTTGGGTCATGTTCTGCTGCAGCAACATCATGTTGTGCATGTGCTTCTCGCTGGTCATGTGGATGCGGAGGTTCCTAGCCACGTTGGTCTCATAATCGCACACCTCACACCGCCACGTGGGTTTGGTTTTTGGTTTGGTAGGCGAGGGGGCCCCACAGGAACTACTGATATTGGCTGCTGCAGCTGCCGCCGCTGCCGCTGCCGCCGCCGCCCCAGCAGTATGGCTGAACACCTGCTCCCCCCCGCCATTCTGCAGGTTCTGCATGTTGTTGAGATGCTTGTCGGACTGCATATGAATACTGAGGTTGCCTTTGGTAGTTGTAGAGTAGTTACACACCTCGCAGCGGAAAGGCTTGTAACCACAAGTGTAGCTCTCACCTCGTGCCAACCGGGGGTGGGGCTGCCCGCTTTTGCAGTAGACGCAGGAGCCCCCCGGCTCCGGGTGTTTCTCCTTCATGTGTGCCTCCAGCGTCTGCTGGTACTTATAGTGCCAGTTGCACTTGGGGCACTTGAGTGTCTTACACGAGTTGCGAGAATGCATCATGGTCATGTGGCCACCCAGCGAGCGGGAGGAGCCCAGGACCGTGTCACATTTGGGGCACTCTACACCACTCCCCGAAGGGCACTCCCCAACCCCAAGCTCGCAGAGGGAGCCAGCGTGCTGGTGATGCGGGACGAAGCCCCCATCGTCACCCTCTGTGCTTTCATTTGGTTCTGGTGCTGTGGCATTGTCTTTATTGGCACTTTCATCAGCGAAGTCCAGCCTCCTGCTGCCCTCTGCCACATTGGCCCTGACGCCCTCACTGTTAAAGCTTAAACGATTCCTCCTGTTCGCACCATCAAAGACAACAAAGGAAGAAGCAGAATTAGAACTAGTAGAAGCTGTGCCCCTCGACAAGGTCTGGAGCACATTAGGCATTAAGGGGGAGTTAGAAATGCTTTGGTTTGAGAGAGCAAGGTCCTTTTTGCGGCTACCACCTGCTGCTGCCCCAGACTCCTCGGAGGGCCTGTCCTCCAGCTCGTCGTCCAATTCACTTGGAAAGAGTCCTTTGCAGCCCTCCTCTTCCTCCTCCTCCTCTTCCTCCTCTTCCTCTTCCTCCTCCTCTTCCGCCTCTTCTTCCTCTTCTTCCTCCTCCACCTCCTCCTCCTCGGCTGGCTCTGCTTTCTCGGAGAAGCAATCGGGATCACCCACTTCTTGCTTCTCTCCTTCAGCTGCCCCAGAGTCCTTGCCCTCTGAGGATTTGGTAGGACTGGGAGCCAGAGGCCCCAGGGGGACTGAGGTAATGGGGGTCTTCAGGACCGAGCTGGTGAGCCCGCCAAGGTTCAAGAGGGTACTGGGGGTCAAGAGACCAGACTGGGGCTGCTCGGGGCCGGCAGCAGAGCCGGCCGGGAGAGCCTCCTCCCCTTCCATTCGAATGCCACTAAATTTACCATAAAAACTGTGTCCGGGGCCTATGAGGTTAGCTGTGGAAACTAAAGGGTGTTGAAAGTTTTTGGTTTTTGGTTCCAGAAAACTTACAAGGGGTTCTTTGTCTTTGCCAATCCCTTGAATGATAGCGGAGATGTTCTTATTGCTAAGAATTTTCCGCTCATCTTCACTCAGGGTCATTCGATGGTCGTGTACCGCGTGGGTCACAAACGAACGGACGTACCCGAAGGAGAGTTTGCACAAGAAGCACATCAGGATGGGCTTCCTCTTGCCGTAGAGCACAAAGCCATCGAATTTGGACAGGTCCACATTGTTGGGAACATCTTTGGATACACAGGAGCTTTTGGCAGAACCGTCGCTGTTCAGGTAATCCTTGTTGCTTTTGTGTCGCACGTCAAAAACGCGGAAGCTGTGCAGAACGGGGCTGAGCCCCGCCAGGGCTGAGGTATTCGGGAAGGCCTGGTCTGAGCCCTCAAACCATTTCCCGAAGGATGAGGCTATGTGGAAAGTGTTGATGATCTGCGGGTAGACGGGTGCAGCACAAGAAGGGTCCCCCTGCTTGCCCCCCGCCCCGGGGAGCGAGTTCAAGAAGAGCGAGGGGAGAGGCCCGCTGCCGCTACTGCTGCCGCCCGCCGCCCCGCTCTGGGCCAGCTGGCTCAGGCTCTCCACGATGTACGCGGAGCCATCGGGCTGGTAGACGATCTCGCCCGCCAGGTTCTCCACATCACTCTCCTCCTCGCCCTCCTCGCTGGTGTCGCTGGTGCTCTCCTCTCGCAGGGGCGGCGGGGCGCGCGTGCCCGGGCAGTGGTGCTCCATGTAGGTCTGCAGGCTGGCGAAGGAGGCCGAGCACTCGTTGCAGCTGACCTCCTTGCTGGCCGGCTCAGCGGGCGGCCCGGCCGAGGGCGCGCTGCTTTCCGCCAGGCGCTCATTGAAGGGGGCCCTCAGGCCGTCCAGGGGCCCGTGGCTCTCGCCTGTGGGCTGCTCCATGCTACTGGGTTTGTCGGGGAGGTGGGTGCTGTTGAGTTCAGTCCATTGCCGGTGCTGAGGGATACCGCACCCATTGTCCTTCCCCGAGACGACGGGCGAGTCACAGCCTTCCATGGTAAGGCCTGCGTGGAGCTTTCATTGCACCCAGTACGGATTGGACCTGAAGGGCGGAGGCAAGGGGGGAGGAGGGAGAGAGGGGAAAGAGAGAGAGAAAGGAAAGAGGTTAGGAGGGCCCAAGCTGAGGTCCCGCGCAAGGAGCGCTCTACAAGGCTTCTGTCCACACCCACAACGCGGAGACCACAGGGCAGAGGGCGGGCTGGGGACACTGCCCAAGCCAACCAGCATGGAGGGTGGCAGGGCCGGTAGGCATCATGGCCGGGTCTGAACACACACGCCAGGGGGCTGGAGAAAGGGAATCAGGAACCTGCCTCTCTGACTTTAGACTACCTGCTGCTCTACTCTGGAGACCAGTTCCAATTTCCACTCTCTGCCAGTGCAGCCTGGCTGTCCTCAGGCAGGGAGCCACAGGCAGTGGGGCTGGAAGCTCTGCAGCCCCTGAGGAGCTCTCAGCATTAAGGCCACACTGGCTCTTGTGCTGTCTATGGGATAGAGCAACTCCAGGAAGGGACCAGAGAAAGAAAGCTTGACACTCTCAGGAAAAGGATGCAAAACTGGGATAGGCGCACTGATGAGAAATCACCGTTACTGCTTTGAGTGGCCACGGGTCTAGCTTGAGAAGTTCAAAGGTCTCAGAGGATGAGAGTATGGGCCTGGACACCCTTCCAAAGTCCCCCAGAGGGCCACCAACCCTCCTCTCCAGGTCTCAGAAGCATCAGTCACATTTTCCAAGCAGTTAAAATTGAGGAGTTAAACCTCAAAATAAGCCTAACACCACCCTGCTTACCAAACAGAAGACCAGGTCCCCGAATTCCTATGCCCTCTGTCCCAACCTGGAGAAACCCCTAGCCCCAGGACCCAACTGACTGCAGACTAAAATTCTGCAGGTACAAAGCATGAGCTGGCTATTTCTAGGAAGAACAGACCAGATTCTCAATCTGCCAACTCCCCCTGCAGCAGCTCCGCCTCGCCCAGTCTGGAGGGAGCCTGTTCACCACGTGCTTGGTGGGTTTTGCTATCACGGATCTTGGCACAAGCCAAGACAGCAGCTGGGCTCAGGGAGCCCCAGTTCCGCACCTGCCTCTTAGTTATTAGTCACTACCGCTACCAGAGCAGCTGTCCTGCAGCCCTGGGGCTTTTCCGTTTCCGACTCCAAAGTGCCACTGAGCTGAACTTGCCCCTCTGAGACCCTGAGTCCCTGAGGTACGCAGCATCAGATCACCAGCCACCTGGCTCCTGTGGCAACATCATTGCAGGGACCTTTCCTCGGTCTCAGGGCTGCTCCTCAAGGCAACTCGGCACCTCAGTAGCCCTGATTTTTCCTCTGCAGATCCCTGGCCATCCTTTCTGGGGGCCTCCTTTCCGGAAAATACTTGACACCTCCACCCACCACTCATTCATACACAGCACAAGAAGGTTTTGGCTGTGTTTCGTCTCTCCCCATCCCCTACACCCCTCATTTTCTCATTCTTTTTTCATTTCTCCATTCTTGACTACACAGTGAGCCAACAGCTCCCCCTCGGGAAAAGATGGAGAAGGCAAGTTTACCAGAAGTCTCAGGAGAAATAAGTTTTTGGAAGAATGTACTGTGATTTGTTTAAACGCACACGCACACACAATCATCCTTCAATTTGTAATCTCAGACTCCGTGACAACAAAGGTCTGTGTACGTTAGAAAAAGACGTGTTCATTTGAAACAGACATGACTACGCTAACCCAAACTCAACAGCAAATGCAATGGGACTTCTTGCAAGGCTTAGCTGCAATATAGGTGAGAATCCAGGGTGGCTCTTCTGAAGGATGCTTCTGATTGGCCAAATGACATCTGATTGACAGCTCAGGCCACAAAGGTTGGCAGGCCTGAAGGGGTGGGAGGGTTAACAGCCCGATTGTAAAATCAATGTCATAAATGCTTGGTAAGTTACAGGAACATGCAGGAAGGGGAGGCCACGATTGATAAAGGAGAACAGCTTTGATGCCGCACCAGGGACTTGTTTATCGACAGCAAAGCCAATCTCCTCTCCAGCCTGGGCTGGGCCAGAGAAACCTGCAAGCGTTTACCAATTAATTGGTGGGCTTTTCTTGTTCTGCTCTCTCCTTCCTCCTCCTCTTCCACAAACTATCCGGCTAAATGGCTGGGTCTTTTAAAAACTCCCTAACTTTTATTTTCTATGCCAAAGCAGGTTTCAAGAAATGATACTGTGATTGCTTGGGAGACAGATGACCATGACAGTCACACTAGGGGCCACTTGCTCCCAGCAGGTGATCACCTATTAAGGCACAGGTGAAAAAGAAGAGCCCCCATCTCTGGATCCACGCTGCCTGCTCTGGACTTTCTTTCCATGCAAGCTGGCCTCGATGACAGGAGAGCCTTTGAAAACTCTGCTAATAAGCCAAGTGTTGTTCATGCACAGCCTTGACCTCACCATGGAGCTTGGAAGAAATGCAGATTCCCGCAACTCCCCACTCCAGCATAATCTGCCTTTTCCCACCACCCCCAGGTAACCAGAATTACAGCTTGAGAAGCTGTGCCTCACAACTTTACCAAGTGGCCAACTGTATTGCTAGGTAACCAGGGAAAGATGGCTTCGTTCCTACCCCCAGAGGCCCTGGGGAGGTGCAGGGATAATGATGGACCAGGGGGACTGAACAGCAGCAAGAAGAAATCTCTTCCTCCTCATCCTGCAGCTCGAGGACCTCGGGGCATCCACCACTCTCCCACCCAGCCTGCAGTCGTGCTCACTCTGTTTATCAGCCAGTCAATAAGAAAAAGGTAGTTCTTACTTAAGGAGGCAGAAGTCAACTCGGCAGGTCGATCAGCACTCTGTCTGTAAACATGGTTTCCCGTAAAATCAATGATCTTCAGTTACAGAGGGCAGCCTGGGAACCAGTGGGTCCCCGCACTTTCACAGGCAGCCCCTCCGGCCAGTGTTCACACGCCTCTCCCAACCTGGGCACTGCGCCTGGACCCTGCCCCCCACGCACGCTGGACCCCTCCTGCAGCCTGCTTCTCCTTCCCCTGCTTACACCCACAAATTCCCTTCGATGTCCTGGTGAGCAAATCACAACCTCCACAATTCTCGAATATGGTATTATTTTTATTAAAGAATTCAGCTAGATTTTAATAGAGCACATCTCTCCAATGACACAGTTCAAGTAAAGATACACAAGAGTGATCTTCCGGGCATTTGTGCCTGTGTTTGCCTCCTTAAATTTGAACTCTGCCCTCTGACAAGCAATCTTGTACAGGAAAATTCTGTCACCTTCATTAAGAACCCACTACCCACGTTCACCTTCCAAGTTGTAATCCCATCCCTTCCAGCTCCCTGAATCCTTATAAAAACGCAGCCTCTACTTTTCAAACATTGCTTAGAAGGATAAAAGTCTTTCATGTTAGTTGGGCATAGCGGCAGACTCCTGTAAACCCAATACTTGGAAGGCTGAGTCAGGAGAACGTTGAGTTCAAGGCCTGCCTGGGCTACAAAGGGAAATCCTGTGTCACACACACACACACACACACACACACACACAACCTCCCCTCTGTTGCTCTGCAGATCCCCATCAGGCAGGTCATCTGTCTGTCTCTGTAAACCAGAGAGAGTGCTACAGCAGTCCAACCGTATTCCTCGAAGGAGATGGGGCTGGGGAAAACCCAACAGTTCCGGGAAGGACGGGAGGGGTGTAGTGATGAGGTAGGGGAGGGGGCTCCCGCTGTTGCTCCAGCTCCCAGAGAATTAAACATGAACAGTTGCACTGTGTAATTTTAAATTGTTAATTAGCACAGGGTTAATTAGGCGGTCCTTTCACAAGGGGCTGTTTGGCAGAAAACCAAGAAGGGAAACAAAGGGGAAGGAAAGAAAAACAAAGAGAACAGAGACAGCGAGAGAAACTGTTGCCTCTGCGAATCACCCAGAGGGCAGGCGTCCCTGGGACATCAGCTGGCAGGCAGGCAGGCAGGCAGGCAGGCAAGCAAGGACGCCTGCTTCTCTGGGTGCTCCCTTGCCTCCCCAGCGAGAAGCAACACACATCTCGTTCCCACAGCACACAGGCTCTCTGACTCAGCAATTTCTCCATTCCAGGAATTTTTCCTAAGGAAACAACCCAGAAGACGCATGGAGATGCAAGAGCATTCATCACAAAGTTTATGCCATGAAAAAGACAATCGGGCAAAAACCAGACTCTAAGTCTACATGTCATAAAAAATGCTTTAAGGAAACTATTCATAGGCATGGGAAAATAACCAGATTTTAAATGAACAAAGCACCTATAGGTATACATATAAAATATAAGACTTCTATATTCAACATTTTATGATTGTAGCTTCTAAGGAATAGGCTAGAGGTGACATTTTGTGCAAAGTCACTTTGATCCTCATAACCACTCTAGATGGGTGCTGTTTTATCCCCATTTTAAAGATGAGAAAACTGAGGCTGTGACATTCTAAATGACCAAGCCAGGCACTGTGAGTTGGAGGGTGTGCTCTTAGTCAATCTAGTAGGCAATATCCAACATTTATATTCAATCCCCCATCCCACTGTGCTAGAAATTAAACCATTAAGCTACCGGTCTCTGTAGTCAATCTTTCTGCACCAGAGGGCTATTGTAAGGTTGAGGGCTACCAAACTGTTAGTGTAAAAGAACCTTAGCCATCCCCCTCAAATGTCCTCTCTTTGCTTGGGGGCCACACAGGGGGACAGCTCAGAGGGGCCTTCTTTGCATAACTGTCTTCAGCTAGGCCAAAGAAGATAAAGTAGGAAAGGGAAGCTGTAGCAAAAATAACTACAAAATGGGTCCTACATCCTGATTTTTTTTTTATTTAAAAAAAAAAAAAAAAACATTCTAGAAACCAAAGCTCAGGAAATGTAGTCACTCATTCATTCAATACAGAATTTACTGTGAACCTACTCTGTGTGAGCTGCTAGCAACTCCAGGGCTGACCAGGGTGCACCTCACGGCCTGTGGAGCCAGCGCTGTAGGCAAGCAAGCAGAACAGTATTCAGTGGCGAAGATGCTCAGAAGTAACACAAGGCCAGCAAGGAAGAA